AGCATAGTTTTTCTACAAAATAAATCATGTCATCAACACTTGTTATAATCACCCAGGTTGTAGTTAGACACAAGCATCTCTTTTTTATATTTCCAACTATGCTTATAATTTACTGCATTTCTTATTGTTGCAGTTATTCAATCAAATTCAAAATCTTTCTCAAGAATAATTCCAAATATAATTACTACTACGTATAACTTAAGACATAATGTCTTAATCTAATTATTGTAGACATAAGGGAATTCGTATTCATGTTGCATGTTGTGTGCACATATTTCTTTTCATCATTGTCCTTCATGGACACACAATTGATATTATAGCAATGACATCCGATTTTCTCATCAACTGCCATATTTATAGAACTTTAAACTATCACAGGAATGTAATCTCAAAATCATTCTATCTCAACTATTGGCACCCCACATGCACAATATCTTGATTTATGGGACTTCAGGCCCAATATGAAACATTTTCTCGTTCATAAACATCGATCATAATTCACAGAATTTTAGGACTACAGGTCCATCATATTTCGTCTGGCCAGACTTTATTATTATGAATTGTGAATCGATAGTCTTAGAAAAATAAATCATTGACGTCAATATAATAACTATGATTCCTGTTTCATCAAAGTCCTCTATATGAGCCTTAAAAGAGGAATTCATGTTCTGTATCATATAAATTATCAACTGCGGCATTTAACTTATATCATTCTCTTGTAGTGACTTATTGTAATAATAACCGGTATTATTTTATATATACGTAGTGACCATCTAACCATGCTTCATGCATTGGTTGAGCTCAAACTTTGCAATCACATATTTCAGTCACTTTGGCAGTTTACTTATCATACTTTACACGTTTATCTTTTCATATCATTCAATCCTTCTGAGATATATTTTCGACATTCCAACCATAATATATTTATGCTTATGCCGTTATATCTCCCCCTAATGTCGGAAAATGTGCCATAATGTTTTTGAACAAGGATTTACGTGCATATGGAACCACTTCCGGGGTCCAAGTACATCATTTCTATAGTGGGGTTTCAATATTGGCACACTTTGGCTCATTTAAACGTGTAAACTTTTGGGGGTTAGTTATTAACAAATGCCGAATTAATATAAACTACATTTTCTTCATATATTTGGGTAACTTTCTAGCAATTTATCTCAGGCAAAACATTCGTTTTATAATGCTAGATATATTTTGTGGGTTACTTTATGTTCTTCACTATATTTCATAGCAGCTGGCAAAGTGGTCTTATACCACTCATTACATGTAGACATTTCAAGAGAGCATATCTTGAGACCAAGTTTAATATTATTAACCCACATTGTGAAACTTCAAGTTCACTTAACTCCCATGGATCCACTTTACAATATTGGGAGAATAGACGGTCTTGCCATTTTCTTATCTAAGAAGTATTTATATTCTGGATGTCTTATACGGCATTTGGTTTAAACCTGGGTTGACCTTAAAGTGGTCATTTATTCAAAAATCTTAAACTTCATGCAACATGTGTCTAAATTATTCAAGTATATATAATACAGTATAATGAGAATTTTGCTACTGGCAGATATTAAGGAAACACAATTTACACTGTGCTGGTATGGTCTCAAACTATCACCCAATAAGTATGATATCACTTTTCAAACTATTACTTCGCAGTGTTTGAGTAGCTGCTTTGAGCATACACTTAATGCCTGAGATTTTATCATTATTATTTATGTGCACAACTTGTTCATAAATATAATTTGTGCTTCCAATACTTAGTACCCTTAAAATAGGATTAAAATTCTAATCTATAAGATTCTCTCAAGTATACACATGCTTCAGGCATTATATCCTACAAATAGGATTAATATATATCAGGCTTTATGACAGGTATATATATGCTGCATGCACTAAATTATCAACTTTTAGGGCAAAGGTAATCTATCTCTAAAATAATCAATTAATGATCTCTTACTTTCATAGAAATAATACGAATCACTCACCTAGAAATCTATATAGATTCTAAGAGGATTAGATAATGCTACTATTGAAGTAACATAAGTAATCAAATTTGTTAAAGAACACTTAAAGACTTGTCTCGAAGTACGTATTCACTTGAATGAATTTCTTAAAATTTATCTTGGCATATAATAACGTAATTACATATTGTCGGCTTTGGTACTTTAGGACCTCACGGCTATAAAACGCGTCCACAAGTAAGGGCTTCAGGCCCCGCTTATAAACAAGCATTAATGATGATATGGGGACTTTATGTTTGTTTTCTCCCCCTCACAAATAGATTAACTTGAACTGCTTATTATACATAATTGCATTAAAATGTGATTTTCTAGGCATTATATGTGTGTCCATAGTAATATCTAACTACATTGTGAATATAGTTGAAGTTTATATCATGTTTGCCTTGAGTGCTTTACAAGACATTTAAGTTCAACAATCAAGTTTCTCATATAAATACATATGTAATCATATTATGTTACAAAATAACCAGATTATAAACAGAGATATGTGGAACGTACCTGTAATCTCCAGTGCACTTTTCTTAATGCTTTCATCAACTCAAAATGGATGAAGTAATTTTCATAATATACAAATAAGGATTAAAAATAAAATGAATGTTTACGAACTAATAAAGATTTTCATCGTACATAATCAAGGCAATGAAATGTTATTATGAGCACATTAAATAATAAATTTCAAACAACTTTAGAGAAATGCTACTTCAGGAGCAAAAATCAATTGATATCTCAAAAAATATTCAAATCATGAGACATAATCAAACTCTTGTGGTATTTAGTTTGAATAATGACTCTAAAAACAGATCATTTGCATAAGTGTTTCAAAACAATAAAAAATACTTTACATAGTTTTATATTTTATAAATTAAATATCGCATTCACTGGCAATTCACATGCGTTTAATAAATATTCATATGAATAGGTGTACCATTAATACTACTTCATGGGCAAATCAAGAATATCATTCTAAATAACTGATATAGCATATACAATTCGTATGACTTATAATCCCTAATAGGATTTTTAAAAATGTCACAAGTGTCATAAATGATAGTAATGATGTGCTAAATAAATTCAATTTATGTCATTAATTGAGTTATTATATGTCATTTTTGAACCGTTAGTCCACTATTGACTAATAAAAACGTTGGAATTATACGTTTCAATTGACTAGCGATAAATGTCATTAAATAATAATAAAAATTTAATCTCCTTATTGCTTGAGTTTTTGGGCCAAACCCGCTTCTCCTAAAATGTTTATTCTTACCCTTCATATGATTTTACGGTTTTCATTGTTTATTCCAAAATCATATTATTATAAGCTAAGGTCACAAAAATGTTGGTATAGATGATCACTTATTCACAAGAATATGCATACACAGAAGCAGGATGATTTTCTAATAATTAATTAGTGAATATTGGAAAATCAAAAGCATTGGAACTCGAACACTAGCGTAATAGTATCACACAAAATGGGAACATGAGCTAGTAAAGCATACTTTGTGAAAACATATACGATAGTACATAATATGTCATATTTTATCCCCGGAGTGCAACTGTACGCATGAACTCTCAAATGCATTTCTCTTTTAGGGAGTATTTATCAATGCTCAATTTAGTGCAAAAATAGAATTATAAAATAGATCAATTTTCATGTTCATTAATTAAATAAATAAATGTCCTTCCGTAACGAATATTGAATTGACTAATTGATTTCATTAAAGTTGTTTTAAAAAAAACTTCTTGATGTAAAAATAAACTGCTGCATGCAAATTTTGTTTTCTTTTTATTTTAAAGAGTTATTTGGTTTCACTTTAGTTCTCTAATACTACGTATAATAGATAGACGGATTGCAAGAACATATATAATGAGATTCTAATTAAGACATTGTATTAATAATATAATAATATGATTACTATGATTCTAAGGCAAATTAAATGACTAATAATATGAACGAATTCTGTCTTGAGTCTGCTTAATAGGTAAGTTATGGGCGCTGCCGATCTTTTTGGAGTATAATAGTCCACTACTATTTTTGTTAAACAATTCAACAGGGTATTATACTACTCCGTATTTATCTTGAATTGTGTAAAGTAGCATAGTAGCATACTATTAAAATTTGCAAGGCATACATACGTATTAGAGAGTATTACTTAGATAGTTAGATATGATAGTCATTATACAATGGAAATTACATTACCTGATAATAGGACTCCATAGGCCGACATAGATGATGAGAACACAAATGAATCACCGATCAAGCCTCAGATACATTCTTCTCGAAAATCACTTGGATGAGGGCGTACTCCAGTGATTAAGATATATGGATGGGCCATTGACTGCCGAGTGCCTAATAGGAAAGGTCGAGAACGTATATGCGATCCAATTCATAGAGCGGGTGATTTAGTGACCTGAGGACAATTTAAGTTGCCGAGTATGGTTGGAACGGCATGGATGTCTTTTGGAACGATGAAGACGGAACAAATTCATGGCTAAAAATTGTGATCTTGCCGAGGAGGTGGCGGCGTAAAAAAAGATTACAAAAAGGGCATGAGGTTATCGTGCTGATAACGTGTTATAAACAAAGCCAAAAGCTTATAACACATATTTATACAGGGGGAAGGGATCAGGGTTACTAGATAAATGGGCCGACTACATGGGCCGGGAAGAGTAATGGACATCCACATATTACATAACATAGTTAAGTTTTTCTCCCAAAAGAACTTATTTCTTGTTTTCACCTATGTTGTGAAAACCGAACAGGGAAGCGACGCGGTCAAACAATCGAGTCACAGGTCAACCCGAACCTGGTGGGTCAACCCGGTCAAATTAGTAAAGGTGTATCTATTGCAATAATCTAAGGATGAAATTGAAAATTCAAAATTGAGTACCAAAGGTGGCACCAGCATAATAGTCAAATGGCTAAAAGCAGAAAAAAACTCATTAGTCAAAACATTTAACACTAGAGAAAATTGTACTCACTTTAGACAAAGCAAAAATTGTGAGTACGTAGTCTTATACTCCGATTTGACCTATTTAAATGTGATTTGGTCTTATAGAAGCTGAAATAATTCCATGTAACAAGTTGTACAACAAAGAAATCAACCTTCAAATATTACCTCATTTTGCGAAATGTAGCAAAAGAAACTTTACATCAATTAATGAAATCTTCAAAGAGAGCAATATTCCTTGTACAACATTATGAGATATTGGAATAATGAGATCAAAGTACTGCATAAGAAATTTGCAACCAGTGTATTGGAGTTGGTTGCTCAATGGCAGAAGTTAAATAATCACTTCTCCAGTTCTCCCTAGTACTGTTCTTAACCCACTCCAGGTTGGGGCTTAGGGGTTACCACCAACTATGGACGGAGCCATCATTTCAGGAACACTGCATAAACAAGCAGAGGTTAATATCACCATCAAACTCCAGATTTTCAAGCTACACATTCATCTATCTGACCATAATGCTTTATTGACAGGATTCCATCCATTGAGTAACCCCACAGCAGAGTTGGCCCATGGGATCCATACCGATGCGCAGTATAGAGATCACAAAGGGTAAGAGAACTATAGAAGAAAGGGCTTACTCATACTCATAGTTAGCCTTGACATTAGCAGTGAGAGCTTCCAAGAAAAATTTCCTAGTTTTGATGATAAGCAACTCTTCTGAATCACTTTTAAAACCCAAAACCGCAAATTGAAGGTAATTCGCTTATGAATTGAAGTATATTCACAAAGTGTATCAATACATGCCCTTCACACTCATAAGCTGATTCAATGCCTGCATATAGATTATACCGTGAGAAAGTTCTCAAATGATAAAAGAAGACGATTAGTTAAGATATAAGGATGTTGGAGACTTGGAGATCGCGCACAGCAATAGAATCGGTTTTACTTTTTTATGAAATCAAAAGTTGAACTGTTGAGACCCTGCAGGGGGGAATGCATAAATTTACACAAATAGATGAATACATAAATAAATGAGTACTGCAAGGAGCTGGTATGTTGTTTGCTCATTATCCATGACATGCAACAAAGTAATTTTTTTAAATATAAATTAGCTTATGAACTAATTCACTATCATATATGTCAAATGTGCAACTAAAGTGGAAAGAAATTGTATAGCTAATGACATGCTTTTCCAATCAATAAGAAAAATTACACAAGGAACTAATTACTCAGTCCAAAATTTAATGTCTGCATTCTAAAATGGAGCTTCAATCAAGACATCTTTTTATTCAAAACACCTTGTATACCTTTCTGAATAGTGGAGATAATTAATGATAGGCGGTTGGGTGTAATTAAAAGAAATGGGTAAAACATTACTACCTCAGTTCTATATTAAGTGGTCCTGTTTTGGATTACAATTACTAGATGCAAGATGAAGTGAAGTATCTCCTTATAATCAATAAGTTAGTATTAGTAACTAAAACTTCCATACTGATAAGCTACACCAAAATTCTATTGAACTACAAAATTTGAATTTGAGCAAGATAGATATTTGAGATTAAAAGAGACATGTGCCCAATGCAAGAATAGTGTATGAGAACAAATATAGAATGGGGGAAGTTAAGTACACTCCGTAATAAAGTTATTTCATTTGGTAATGAAAAGAAAAATGGGATATTATCTTTGCAATGGAAGGAGTATTTTAGACGGTCTCTGCCAAATGTGACAATAAGATATACAAAATGCAAATATGCAACAAAGATTAAAAGTGGTTGCTCTAAACTTCTGAAGTATATTTCATTTGCAACAAAAATTAAAAGTGGTCACTCTAAACTTATGTACTGTCCATGTTTATCCTGACAATGAAGCGATGCATAACTTGTTCAACACAAAAAATATGGAACAAAGTATTTGATAATTAATACCTCAGGACAAGAGAAGTACACTTGCCTGGTATTCACACATGCAACAAGTTTCTCATTCACAATGCTCTCAGCCAATTTCTTACCTGCCAAAAATGAATAGAGAGTAGAAGCAACAACAGAAAGTCAGCGAAAATCATAATGTATGTTAGCATATTTCACTAATTAGAAAGATAAATGTGTTTCAAAGATCAAAATCAAAGGCATCACAAGTCAATGGTGGGAGCACGTCAGGATAATCAGTGTAGGATTGATAACGGGCTATGTTAAAGGGTGCCTGGGATGCATGACTCTAATGGAACCCGTTTAACCCAGGTATAAAATAAGTTAATAATATATAAATATAAGCATATAATAATGTAGTAATGCTTAAAAATAAAAATAGGAAACCAGGGAAATATGCTAATGTGTTTACTCTTCAAACTTTTTTATGCAATAAGTTGTAACATCAATAACTGAAAGTTTACTATTTGGAATATCTAAGAATTTTGTTTTTAGCATAGAGTGAACTTAGACAAGTATTCGGTTTTAACAAAGAGTGGACATAATTTCATCTTAAAAAATAAGAACAAAATTTGGAAGAGAAATATCATATCAGAATTACAATGCTCAAAAGAGAAGAAATAAAATTCTCTAATTCGCTGATTTGAAGTCCTATTTATACAACTAGGAGAAGAGCATATAAGGAACGCTATTTACTAATTACAATTACTACAATATATCGAAGTATTTACAATATATAAGGAGAAAGTATTTTTTATACTCAAAGTACAAGTTTAAAGGTTAGTGAAGTGATACCAAATGTTCAAGATGAAGAAATTTTACAAGTGCAATTCCTCTCTACTGATAACACAACTCATCAAGCAGTTGAAATGCAGGCAAAAGCCTTCTCTCTCTGCAGTTCAAGTCTATTAATAGGCCCCAAGTATGAGGGTCCGGCTTGAACCCCACGTTCACCAGTCCAAACAATGAAATCGCCGCATCAATAACTTTTCCAGCTTTGCAGAAACGGACCAACAATTCATTTGAAGTGGCGTGATGGGGCCAAAACCCCTTCCCCAGCATCATACCCAACAACTCCATAGCCTTGTCCAGTTCACCTTCATAGCACAACACATTTAACACAATCCGGTAACATTCCTTGTTAAGGTATACCCCTTCCTTAGATAACCTCTGAAGTAAATATAAGGCTTCATCATGCCTTCTATCACTGCACAGAGCTGTAAGTATAACCCTAACAGCCACATCATCAGACATACAACTGTTTTCTTTCATCTTCCCGAGAACCTTTATGGCTTCATCAACTCTACCACTTTTACACAAGCAGTTTATAAATACCGTATAACCGACCATATCAACTTTATCACCAAAACATCCCATCATTTCACTAAAAAGTGTCTCGGACTCTTCTAACCTTCCTTGCTCACAATAAACATGCATCAAGGTTGTATAGTTAATGGCATTGGGTTGGCACCCGTTTTTCCTCATGAAATCCAATATTCTCCTACCTTTATCCACATCCCCTCCTTGAGAAACCCATTTTATCAGGATATTGTAAGTCAAAGCATCGGGCACTATTTGATCTTTCGAGACCATTTCTTCAAACAAGTCAATTGCCTCTTGCAATCTTCCACAACGGCAGAGTCCGTCCAGGAGTGTTGAGTATGTGATGAGGTTAGGGTAAGACACTCCTGACTTCCTCATCTCTTTAACCACTTCAAAGGCTGCCTCAAGATCTGCATTTCTGCAATGATGCTTCACCAGTATGTTGAAAATGCATGTGTTCGGCTCTAAATGGAGTTTTTCTTGAGCATGTATTAGAAATTCCTTTGCCATATCAATCTCGTTGGCTTCCACCAAGAGATTCAAGCATGTGCTTACGGCTTTAAGAGATGGTTTTTGACGTACGATTGGTTCAATGAAATTAAACATCTCAAGTACTTTTTCATGAAGAGAGAACTTGGAGAAATGCTTCATGAGGTTAATGAATATACCTTCATGGAATTTGCAGGTCTCATAGGACATCTGATGAAGAACAGCATGGACCATCTCAAATCTTTTGCAAGAAGCAAATTTGTGGAGGATAATGGCATAAGTGGAATTGTTGTGATTAAACCCCCTTTGATCAGAAACCATGTTGAATATTTCCAGTGCATTTTGTGGATCCTTCTCACGCTTTATTAATCTAATTGCCACTTCATGTGATATAAATTTCTGTTTCTTGATCTTTGGTGGTTCGTTTGTGTTGGAAGAGGTTTCTATTGAGGAGACAGATGCTTTTTGAGAGGTTGTTTCGAGATTTTGAAATACAGATAAAGAGTAAAAGCATCGGCCTTTAAAAGTCAACCCTTTCATCTGATTCATGTGGAGCTCTTTGAATAAAAACCAAATGCTCTTCGGGTTAATAATCATATTCACCACCAAAGTGTCCTGAAATAGAATGCCCAAGCAAAAGAGATTTAACAAAAAAGAAATGAAAAGATATAGAAGAACATGCTTTTTGCAAGGATTTATGTTGTTCAATAAATTGACAATTAAGTGACAATCTATATTTCATGTCAGATAGGGAGCTTTAGCAAACCGATTACGGTGTTGCCGTGTGACCGAGAGGTCACAGGTTTAAGTCTTGGGAGTGACCTCTTTTCAAAATGATAAGCGAATGCTTGCTCCTTATACACCCTGGTGGTGGGACCATCGCCTTGCGGGGATGCCAATGTACACCAAGCTGCCCCTTTTTTCAAAATTCATGTCACCAACCTTAATATAAAGTAACTTACTTGCACCAGGAATCAGGACCACTAAACCTTAACAATACGTCATTCATTCCCAAGATGGATGACCTCAAACAAAGATTCAGATAAGACTAGCATGTCAAAGCACGATCACTAAAATCAGGCTATTGGATACAATAATTACCATGCGTGTATGCGGAGCTTAATTGGCTTATCCTACAATATAGTGGTATGCCATTTCTTTCTTCCTTTATCTTTCTATAGCTGATACCAAAACCAGTAATCTACTTTTTTTGTTAGCAACCTATACTTGAAATGTAATTGACTGCAAATGAGTCTTGTGTGTTTTTACCAAAACCAGTGGTATGCCCTTTGTTCTCTTTTTTGTTGCACTCTTGGTTTTCAGTTTTGTATACCTTTTCTAAACTGCTATAAAAAACACTGACCTACTTTAGAAGGGAAGAAAATGTTTTCTAAGAAGATCTACAGTTGTTCTTATTCAGGCTGTTTTGTTATTATATACCAAGTAATATTTTATAGGGATAAGGGTCAGATAGGGCCTCGAACTCGAAAACAAATGTCAAATAAGGTCATATTTCGGATGCTCTGTCTGGCCGACGCCATTTGGGGCGGTTCCCGATGGAATTTTTTGATGAAATTTTTTGAGCATCTTCCTCATTAAGTCTAGTTTACCCATACCAAATTTCAGCTAAAAATTCAACCGGGAAGGTAGTCAAATAATTTTCCGAAATGTACGGCGTTGTTTAACTTCACAGTTATCTTCAAAAATTCATTTGACTACCTTCCCGGTTGAGTTTTAAGCTGAAATTTGGTATGGGTAAACTAGACTTAATGAGGAAGATGGTCAAAAAATTTCATCAAAAAATTCCATCGGGAACCGCCCCAAATGGCGTCGGCTAGACAGAGCATCCGAAATATGACCTTATTTGACATTTTTTTTCGAGTTCGAGGCCCTATTTGACCCTTATCCCTATTTTATATTTAACCAATGTGGTCTATTTGGTAATGTAGAAAATGCTTTATGAAAACTAATAGATTATAATCAATTTCCTAAAGTCAATTTCATTTTCCAATACTTTGTGAAGAGTTAAATGACTGTTGTGTCACTTGTGTGGACATAAACATAATATTTAACAAGTTGTGTCTTATATACAACATACGATTTATAACAATAATAACAATAACAGTGATACTACTAATAATAATGATTGTAAATAGAAGTATAAAACATAAACAAGTAATAAAACATAAACAAAAAAGGCAGGATTTTATCCCTACATTCCATTCTTCATCAATTACAAGTTCTACTGTGTTTGGCTGAAAAGCCAAATGTTAACTAGATTCATTCTGTTTTCCTGGAACTAAGCATTATGAAGAGCCTCCACAATACAATCAGGTGGTGTACCCATTAAATGAAAAGAAAATCGCAGAAATGAGCAGCACTTGCAGATTCGCTTGTAATATTTCCTACTTTTAATACTTTCCCCTTACCAACAAGTTACATTCACTCACCTTTGACACGAGTTTTAGAAAGAAAAGATGTGATAGTTTTGATTGTATAGTACAACTGCAACCTATTAATAGGAAGTTTAAGTAATTTACTAATTTGAATCTACAGAAATCGCGAAAAAATAATAGAAAGAAATTGTAAATGGAAAAGTACAAATTAGTAGAGTTCATAACTTCTTAGTTCTTATTACGAAAATGGATTTTTTGTATCTAGTACTACAGTATTTCTGTGTTTTTTTCCTTGTGTTGATTTCCTATTCATCATTGAGAATGTAATATATACTCAAATGATGATTTAGTTAGGAGCTCAGAGATTTCTACAGCTTTTTTCTATGAGCAAGCACAATGCTTAAGCCTAACATCAAGTACAATTACTACAAATTTTGATCTAGTCTTGTAATAAAACATACTCCATACACATAAAGTATAAACTCATCATTATATAATCATCACCATTGCTATAGCCAATTTAGTAGTTAAGATCCTGATATTTTCTTATTCAGGATGGGTTGGGAAAATAATACATGGCCTTTATTCTTTACAATAAAAGAGTCGACGTGAAAACAAATTGTTCTCGTACTAGCCCGGTTTGGTCCGGAAATGCATAACAAGTAAGATATCGAAAGCGTTTGGCATCCCTAAATATCATGCAGCAAAGCATTCCATGAGTTTACAATTTTCCATCATACATAGCTCAGTTGAGAGTGATGCTTATCAATCCAAATGTTTCAGTACAAACTCAAAATATTAAGTTCCACATGTTTGTGAGACATAGGGAATTAAATCTTCATGAGTTCAATAGCTTCAATGGGAGGATCTATGTATTGGCTATAGTGGGCTAGTGAGCTAAAACTCAGGGCAACTTAATTTTTTTCAATTTTTTAGTGTAATTATTTTTTGTTTTTCATATTTAGTTAACCCCTATAATGTTTAAGCCTAGTATAATTAGTATTCAGCCCAGTTTAACTCAATTTCCTGGATCCGCCCCTCTTAACTTCAGAGAAAAACGAGCAGAAGTTTTGCAAATCACCACATATCCCCTCGTGCCAGGGGTATCTGATAATGTCAATGCCATACACATAAACATGCAATGAATGGTGCAGGATATGCTTAGGACCAATAATACAATCTGCATAAGTACATAAGTACATATAACTAAACTTTCAAGCAAAAGGCAAGGCTATAACTACGAAACAATTGGCCGATGGGTTCAGTTTCTTTTGTGTCAATTTACTAGGAGTAAGCATCACCAACCGAGAACATCATATTGTGTGGACCCTAAGCCAATTCAAGTAAAATCAATTGCTCCTTATTAAATTACTACAATATATATACCATAAATAATCAAATGAAAAGCTTAAGAAGATGAATTTTGGGTGTTACCTAATTTAAGCAAACAACACCTCAACGGACCGTCGGTCGGTTGCCGACTTGCCGTTGCAGCTTTGCACTCGCGCAGAGGCGTAACTTCTGTCTGAGTGGTCCGAGTGTTTAGCAGCAAGCAGGAGCGCAGGACACTTGGGCAGTTGGGCTAAGATGGGCCGCAGGGGCAGGCCATAAATAAGTACTTAGTTTGACTTGTACAAATATTTAGAAAATAGAAAAGATATACTCCCTCCGTTCTCTATTAGATGTCTTTATAGGATTTGGCACAAGTTTTAAGAAGAAAATAATAGGGGTAGTGTAAAAGGTGTAGTGAGTTGAGTTCAAATGAAAAAGTAGGAAAGAGAATGATGGTATATGGGTATATTTATTGAAAAAACTTTTTTAAAATCGAAAGGTAGACAACTATTAGAGAACATCCTAAAATGGAAAGATGGACAAGTATTAGAGAACGGAGGGAGTAGTAAGTAATTTTGTTTTGAATTTATAGTTATAGTCACATTTTATGTCAAAATCAAGTAAAAAATAAGTAAAAAGTATAAGTAGTTTTGATATTTGCTATTTAAAATACTTTTTATGCCGATAATAAGTTTATTTGGGACATCCAAAGAAACAATGTGAGAAGTTAGGATGTCTTTACATGGACTCTAATTTTCCCCAGATGAGACCAGACCAGACCAGTTCAGACCAGACCAGACTTGGATAGTTATAAAAATACAAAGAAAACAGATCTTACTAGACCAGACCAGACCAGACCAGATCAGATCAGACCAGACCAGACCAGCAAATTACAGTCCAACTAAAAACATCCTTAGTCCCTCTATATCACTTTATTTGTCTCACTTTCCTTTTTGAGACATATCAAATTAATTGTTCTATTTTTCATTTTGAGAAGAAACTCGCTTAAAAAGCAGTTGTTATACCATTAAAGTACCAAAAATCTTTTTCATAAAGTATATACTCCATAATAATTATCTTAAACTACATATAAGAGCAAGACATATAAGGGGATGTTTGAATCTGATTCTTAAAACTGATATTGCTCCTTCAGGGAGCGAAAACAAAAGTTGGAGTATTTGGGTGGAAGTGATTTTGGTGCTCTGATCTAATTCACTCTAGAATCGATTTTTTTAGAAGTTGGGGAAGATCAACTTATAAAAAGTGATTCTGATTCTGCTTTTACTTAAAAAAACAAACACCCTAAGGCCTAAACTATAAAGTGATAGGGAAGTAGTATTTGTGAAAGTTTAGGCGTTCTTTCCTCAACCAAAGTACCAAACCCATCAAAATCCTTCCAACCCTTTATGGTAAATTTACCCAATATTAGCTGGGAAACAAATCCCTACAGCCGCACAAAAGATGGGAGTACTGGGCAGGGGCTGCTGGGTCTGTCTCGAGAGCCATGGGTGCGGACTCTTCAGATTCGCTAGAGCTAGAGCTAGAGCTAGCATTGGATGAATCTCCGGTAGATAATTCCTCCGAGTTGGTACTTGAAAGTTTGTTTTTCAACCGCTCGAAAGTTTGTTCTATTTCCGGGTTTGCTTGGTAAATGATTTCGTTTATCGAACGGGTTGTTACCATATACTCATGTAAGCTCAGGAAATAGAAAAGTAAGAACTCTTTATACCTTTTTAATCGTAAATTAGGAGGCTTTATATTAAAATCGAGAACGAATACAAGGTAATATTCAGACAGGTTTTACAGATCCAATCGTGCACCCTAGGAGTAGACATAGAATCAGTCACCTCATGCAAAGCAACATGACTCGCTAAACCTGAAAGGGGAAAATTTAAGCCTAAAATGAACAGATCGGAAACCCTACATATCAAAAGAACTCCGAAAATCCAAACATTCAAATCAAATCTACTCGGACTAAAACTAAAACTAGTGTTACTAAAGAGAAAATAATATTGAAATAAAATCTTTCCACAAAACTCTTCCCGGTATGAAGGTGGTTCTGGAGGAGCACGAGCTCTTCCAATATGGATGAATACAAACTCAACCACCGTCGGACGAGCGGCAGACCAATGCTTCACGATCCAACACCGATGCAAAATCCCAGCCACAATCCGTTCATCCGCCAATGTTATCTCCTCCGGCATAGTTGCAATCCCAAGCGTTGGAACACTTAAAATCAGAATAATCTGCCGCTCCAGCCCCATATTGATATGGGTGGCGGAAAATCTAAACCCTTACAAAGAGGGGAGACGGCCGTTCCCCCTCCTCTCTCTAGATTTCTATTACAGAACTCTTTATACTTTTATTAATTATTTTTTATTTTTCTTGAAATAATATAAAAGAAATATTATTGTCTTTCCCCAGCAACAGCACCAAATTTGACGGCACTAAAGTCATTGTGTGGCTCAAAATAATATTCAATACAACAATTAAACGTAGTATAATGAAGTAAGATTCGTATCTGCATGGAAATGGATACTTCTCTTTTAATTAACTACTAACAAGGGGGGAGTTAATATTATTCTTGAACTTTAAGAATATTTAAACACTAAGATGAATGACTTATATAGTTTAATTAATTAGAGATTGAGACTTGGCTTTGCTTATAAAATGAAATGTTTAAGTGGAGACTTGAACGTGAACTTTAGTTAATGAAATATTTGTCGATCCCGGTTATATCTTTAATGATCTTACTCTCGAATACTCAATTGTGGAGTATCTCCAATTTATCGAGGGTAGTTACGAGACGCGTTCATTAATAAAACTTACAATCAAGTCAATATAGAACACGCGCCGTATGCCTGTATATTGACCCACTTGTAACAATAAAACTTAAGATGAAAACGATTGAGAATGATAACATCAACACAAGCGGTTTATGAGTTTAATCAATATAATTAATTCTCCTTAGATTATTAACCATGAGACGCATGCATTAATAATCCAAGTTTACTACCGTGAAAGGACCAAACGATTAACAAGCGTATTCGTCGATCGATTCTAGTAATAATCTCTACAATCTTATAAAGGTGAATGAAGGTAAGGGCAGTTTGGATATGAAAAATGTGTTGGTAGTAATCATAAGCTAATGTGGACTTGTACTTTAAGCTAAAATTATTGTACCTTAGCTTCTCAAACATTTTAATACCGGACGGACTGTCAAATCCCGTTAGTAGAATCGTCAAATAGTACGGCACATCGAAAAGTTATTTGGCATAGTTGATGTTCAATTAATACGAAGTATCAAATACTCTGGGCTTTTATTTGCCTTGCTCTCATGTTAGTTAAGGGGAGTGAGATTTAATTGAATCTTAGTTCACAATTATTTAGACTGCTACTACCTACTAGGCTACTACGTATATTTTTCTCCCAACCTTTAACAAGCTAAGGTCTCATCCCTGTTCACAATTACGGAGTATATCTTAGTTTTTTTTTTCTTTTTTACTTTAACAAATACTATGTATAGTTGTATACCAAGTAATTAACAAGCTATTACATAGTATGCTTTATGAGTATGGATGTCTTTTTCCTTTCTTTCTCAAGCAAAAAATAGAAATAGTAGAACCGTCAACACTATTTTTTAATAAACTTAGACCCCGTTTGATACCACTTGAAAGTTGTGTTGGCTTAATAAGCAGAGTATACAAAAATTGATGAAATGATAACTGAAGCGGCTGAATTATCTGAACATGTTGAATAATAGAAAACGTATATTTAAAATATATTTTATTAATAGATTTGAAAAATATTATATAGAAAATAACTAAAATTCTTCTCTGTAGTAATTTAAACCAATTCAGTCAGAAAAGTAACTTCAAACTTACTGATTTGATTATTTCACAATTTGGTGTGGGATATCAAAAGGGCTCTTAAACATTTTTGCAAAAGATCGGTGACCTAATTAGGAAAATCTACCTCGTCTGTACCTCTGTTCATCTAATATTGGTACAAGGGAAAGTGATGTGCTTAGCAAGAAAAGTAAATTATGTATGTGCTTAGTATTGCATTGTTGAAATGAAAATAAAGTAAGAATGATTTTGAACCACACAAATATTACCAAATTTTCTATGAGATAATGTTAGTTGGGAGGACCAAAAAGCAAATATGAGACTTTTAGCTAGACAAAGGGAGTGTTAAACAACTAATACTGAGTACTAAAATTGTTACAAGTGTAATTATATTAGTAATGTAATTATTTTGAGCCTGTTTGTTACTTTATTTTCAAATTGTCAGACTAATCAAATACTCCGGTAACTTTTATGAAACATGTTGTTTTTTATTACACATGCCAAAATATTGTCTGATGCATTTGCAGAGAAATCAGTTTTTGAAGTTGAGTACGCCAAAATATACATATAAAAACGCAGTCAACTTCAAAAATTGATTTGAATGCCTTCCCAGTCGAATTTTGAGCTGAAATTTGGTATGGACAAACTAGACTTGATGAAAAACATTCTCAAAAAAATTCATCAAAAAATTCCACCAGGAACCGCCCCAAACGGCGGAGTTTGAACGGTGGCTTCCGTCCCTCCGGCTGGACCTGAACAATCCTCTACAAGGTTGTATTATAATTATGATCAAAGTAGAAGGAGCTAGTCATAAAGAATTATCTAGTAACTGGTTGCCACTCCACTCAAAAAAATCACTCTTCCACATGTTCCATGCATCTCCAGTGTGTTTGTTTGTGGCCAAGCAATAAATTTTGACATTAAAGAAGTTGGTTTCACGATGTATTTGATGCTCTTGAAATTAACATAATAACTAAAGATAAGTGTGAGTAGCACCACTCACTACGCAACATTTCAAGGTAAAATTATGATTACCCTCTTCTCTTTTAGTCATAATTAAGAGGTCAACCTTGTGTTTTTAAAAGCCAATTATTTACCCCCCTAAACTTTGGTTATAATTTTTTTCTCCCCCTTCCATCAATTTTAGTCACTTGACTGTTAAATATGGGGAAATTACTCAAAATATCCTCACGTACTAGAAAGTAGTAGAAACTGCTATTTTGCTTTATCATTCGTCCTTTTACCGTTTTTTCATCTTTTTCTAAACAATATGAATAAATCTAGCAAATTTAGTATTTATTTGTTCATTTATGGATCCTCTTTTGAACACCAAGAATGAAAATGTCCTCGTGTACTAGAAACTGCTATTACTGTATTATTAGGAAAACTCTCTTCAAAATAAT